CAGTTTATCTATTTCAGCAAGGGTGTACAAATCCACTCTTGGACAGGGTGTGGGTGTGTCAGTTCACTCTCCCGGACAGGCCCCCAATTTCTTATAGACTGTGGGTTGGTTGGTGTTGTCGTCGTTGATCCTTCTCTATGGACAACCCAACCCACAACTCGGCAGAGTGCTTATACTAGGAGATCACCCTTGGCGCTTCTGGCTCTTGGAGAGGGGCTCAACGTCACACGTTTAGGGGATGCGGCTCCAACACTTAGCCTCGTTGTCACGTGCACACACCCACTCGAGCCGCTGTGACTCCCCACTCTCTCCTTATGAGATATGATCTCCTCAATCCCCTATGACTTACTAGTATTACCTCCTACCCTGTCCACGGCAGTGGTTCTTGGTTCTTTCTCTCTCTCTCTCCTTCTTTACTACCTCCTGGGAAGCCTCACTAGGACAAGGGCAAACACCAGCAAATTGTGACACATTTACTGGACAAGGCACATACACGATACATACACACATATAATAATAATGAATCCTATACTCTATAATATCACAATCAGGTTGCACTCCAACACCATCAGAACTCTATTATCAGCTTATCAAGTGGTATCCTATCTCATGGTTCACCACCTGATACTATCAACCTCCTCAAGTTGATCAAGTCTACATACACTGTTGCACCATCAGCAAGAGAATATATATATAGAAAATCAGCATATGAATGCAATAACATATATCAGTATAAATGTTCATTGATACTTCAGTATAAAAAAAACTCCTTGACGTAAGAATGCCAACAGTCACTCACCTCTCACTGCGTCTTGCACGCTAATGACAACCAAACACTATCAACTCCCTATAAGTAATCCACCAGAACTTCCCCTTCCACCTCTGGAAGTTCACTACCCTAATATCCTTAGGTTCTTCCGGGCTTCACTACCAGGATCCTCTGCAGCTCCTCCAGGCTGCTATCATGAAGTTTCCTTGAGCAACTACGGTGCTTCACCCTTCTGCTAGGGTCCTCCACAGCTCTCTTGGCTGCTACACCATGAAGTTTCCCCGAGCAAGTATGGTGCTTCTCCACCTCTACAGAAACACGTGACACTCCTCTTCACTGCTGCTTCTCCTCACAGCTCGAGGTCCTCTGCTCCACTACCTTTGGAGTCTCATCAGCTACATCATCTGCTGGCTTCGAAGTTCTCAGCAACTTCTTCCCCAAAGACAAACCTGCAACCCATCGACACTCCAATAAAATGTTCCCCTTAACACATAAACAAAAATAACCACACAATATGCTTGCCTCAAACCTCTATCTGTTCTCTACATACAGTGAGAGTGGACTCCCCCGTTTTGGGCGGGTCCATACTCCACCTCGCCTGGCGGCGGTCCTCACTCACTGGGAGGGTCTTCCTCCATCCGGAGCCAGGCTCCCTCAGTCGTCGGTCAGAGCTCAGAGGGGACGGACGTCGCTCCGTGCTCCTCCCTCTTCACTCTACTATTTCAGGCCTTCTGCCTTATTAAAACATGTCTAACTTATAAATAAACATTGCTACTGTCGCTGGGCACACGACCAAATACAAGTGATCACTATGAACTGGCGTATATCGTGCTTACCACAGATCGGCTGGTCGAGGGCGCTTTCCCTCTGACGGCGTCTGGTCAGGGCGCTCCACACAGCCCACAATAATGTCCCTGGCGGGCTTGACACTCTCTTCTTCGACCAGGACTTGAGACCACAACGTTCCCAGCTCGGTTCCACAGCTGGCACGTCTACACACTTCTCTTCTCTTCGAGATATATCACTAGGGGTTCCCTTCTGATGGGAGCTCAACGGAGCGCGGCTACCCCCTGCGATGTCTGGCACTCAAGTGAGGTCAAGGTCCTCCGGAAGCGAGCCTCACGCCTCCAGCAAAATGTCCACATCTCCTAGCCAGACACTTATCTATTTTCTTCTGCATTGCCCATAATCTCAAACTGTTACACATATCCAACCAACTATTTTGCATATGCGTTATCACCTCAATACTTGCTAGACCTTCTAGTTAGGTCAGGCTTGCTGAATAACTCTCAAGGAGGGAGACTCGTTTCTCCTGCAGGCTGAGATCATAACACAGATAAATATATATATGACCCAAGCGATTCTGTGGCCGGTACCTGGGTCGAGCTCACAGGAATCTCCGGGTTCCGGAATCTAAGGTCTCACAAGGCCGCCAACCCCCGACCTGAGGTCTCACAAGGCCACAAGCCCCCAACCTGAGGTCTCACAAGGCCACCAGCCCCCAACGTGAGGTCTCACAAGACCACCAGCACCGAACCTGAGGTTTAACAAGGCCACCAGCCCCCACCCTGGTGAGGAGAGAGCAGCTGCCCGGCGTCATGCCACTGGGTGCTTGGCTTGGTCAACTCATAGTTCAGTAACCTCTTACTTAAATCTCTAATACAGTATTTAATTGCCATCATTAAATTTTTAGTCAAAATGTAACGTGCTAGCGTTACACTACACTACACCAAGTATCACCCCCGGAGCATCTAACTAGCCAGGAGCCCTAACAGTCTTACGCCTGGCAAGGGTACACAGCCAGCCATTTTGAGAAGCAGCCAGTAACTTGTCTATACATTCAAACAGAAATAAACCGTCCTACGTTACTACAACCCTACCTAATTACCCCTATAATTTAAACAATATAATTATCTCAACATATTCTCACCACATTCAGGGGGCCTATCACAACACCAATATATATATATATATATATATATATATATATATATATATATATATATATATATATATATATATATATATATATATATATATATATATATATATATATATATATGTCGTACCTAGTACCCAGAACGCACTTCTCGGCCTACTATGCAAGGCCCGATTTGCCTAATAAGTCAAGTTTTCCTGAATTAATATATTTTCTCTAATTTTTTTCTTATGAAATGATAAAGCTACCCATTTCATTATGTAAGAGGTCAATTTTTTTATTGAAGTTAAAATTAACGTAGATATATGACCGAACCTAACCAACCCAACCTAACCTAACCTAACCTATCTTTATAGGTTAGGTTAGGTTAGGTAGCCGAAAAAGTTAGGTTAGGTAAGTTAGGTAGTCGAAAAACAATTAATTCATGAAAACTTGGCTTATTAGGCAAATCGGGAATTGCATAGTAGGCTGAGAAGTGCGTTCTGGCTACTAGGTACGACACACACACACACACACACACACACACACATATATATATATATATATATATATATATATATATATATATATATATATATATATATATATATATATATATATATATATATATATAATATATATATATATATATATATATATATATATATATATATATATATATATACCCTAATCGTCCCTCATATTCTCTATAGGAATCCAATCGATCATGGCTCCCATATGCAACAACTCAACAATGGGGCAACATGCATGGTTCATATGCAACAACACAACAATGGGGCAACATGCATGGTTCACATATGCAACAACTCAACAATGGGGCAACATGCATGGTTCATATGCAACAACACAACAATGGGGCAACATGCATGGTTCATATGCAACAACTCAACAATGGGGCAACATGCATGGTTCATATGCAACAACACAGCAATGGGGCCACATGCATGGTTCATATGCAACAACTCAACAATGGGGCCACATGCATGGTTCATATGCAACAACTCAACAATGGGGCCACATGCATGGTTCATATGCAACAACTCAACAATGGGGCAACATGCATGGTTCACATATGCAACAACACAACAATGGGGCAACATGCATGGTTCATATGCAACAACTCAACAATGGGGCCACATGCATGGTTCATATGCAACAACACAGCAATGGGGCCACATGCATGGTTCATATGCAACAACTCAACAATGGGGCAACATGCATGGTTCACATATGCAACAACACAACAATGGGGCAACATGCATGGTTCACATATGCAACAACACAACAATGGGGCCATAGTCGTAACTCGTGGTATTCTTCGGGAATTTGAGGCAGAGTTCTGCATCGTTTTCGGATGGAATTGAGTTAAGGTGATATGCCCTTACTTGTAGGGCGGGATGTAGGTGGCCGTTCTCCCGACTCGGGCCCCCGGAGTCCAGACCCCGACCAGACCAAATGTTGGAGTAGCGAACACAGCATCCCCGTGGAGCCCGACACGCCCCCTTGGTAACATTCCTGTGCTATCTGGGCTGCGAGGAATGTAGAGCTCTGTGAGAAATATATAAGTGTGGGCGGGGTGAGGGAGTCACCGTGGCGGGGAAGGAAGAAGCTATTGGGTATTCTTGTGACGGCGCATCATTGATGGTGACGGGTAGGTGGTGGGTGGGCAGCAGGGCGGTGGGCAGTAGGGCGGTGGGCAGTGGTGGTGCGGTGTGGGCATACTGGGTGTAGAGAAGCCGGATGGCAGCTGGCATGAGTACACTGCAGGTCTGGTGCACTGTAACTACTGTTCATCCACACACACCAGGTAGCCGTAACAATTTTTTGGGGGGTCCAGGTACTTAAAAAGACACGTGAGGTTCCCATTGTCCATGACATGAATCCTGTTAGGCTTATCCAGGTCTCCCCCGCAGGGGCCCTAACGCAATAAAGGACGAGGGGACACACACGGTAGTCAATAGTACCGTAACGAGGGGACACACACGGTAGTCAGTAGTACCGTAACGAGGGGACACAAACGGTAGTCAGTAGTACCGTAACGAGGGGACACACACGGTAGTCAGTAGTACCGTAACGAGGGGACACACACGGTAGTCAGTAGTACCGTAACGAGGGGACACACACGGTAGTCAGTAGTACCGTAACGAGGGGACACACATGGTAGTCAGTAGTACCATAACGAGGGGACACACACGGTAGTCAGTAATGAACTAAAAAAAAACTGAAAATAGCTTCCGTGGCCCTATTAAAACTCCTTTAGTCCCATTAATATATTCGTATTCTTTTTTCCAGTTGATTACTACTCTCCGCGGTTCCTGGTCCACGCCGCCACCGCTGTCCTCCCGGTCAACGCCACAGGTCAGTCCAGGTCATGTGTTAACCTGCCCACAGGTCAGTCCAGGTCATGTGTCAACCTGCCCACAGGTCAGAGGTCAGCCCAGGTCATGTGTTAACCTGACCACAGGTCAGAGGTCAGCCCATGTCATGTGTTAACCTGCCCACAGGTCAGAGGTCAGCCCAGGTCATGTGTTAACCTGCCCACAGGTCAGAGGTCAGCCTAGGTCATGTGTTAACCTGCCCACAGGTCAGAGGTCAGCTCAGGTCATGTGTTAACCTGCCCACAGGTCAGAGGTCAGCCCAGGTCATGTGTCAAGCAGCACACAGGTCAGAGGTCAGCCCAGGTCATGTGTCAAGCAGCACACAGGTCAGAGGTCAGCCCAGGTCATGTGTCAAGCAGCACACAGGTCAGAGGTCAGCCCAGGTCATGTGTCAAGCAGCACACAGGTCAGAGGTCAGCCCAGGTCATGTGTCAAGCAGCACACAGGTCAGAGGTCAGCGCAGGTCAGATTAGTTGCGTTAAGGAAGTCTTATGGTTGAGCCTCTACATGGAGCTGGTTGTTATTGGTTGGGGCCGGAAATGGGGATTCCGGGTGGTTGTCCTAGTTTGTGCGTGGTTGTGGTCGTTTGTGGTAGTTTGTGAGTGGGTGTGGTGGTTTGTGGTAGTTTGTGAGTGGGTGTGGTGGTTTGTGAGTGGGTGTGGTGGTTTGTGGTAGTTTGTGAGTGGGTGTGGTGGTTTGTGAGTGGGTGTGGTGGTTTGTGAGTGGGTGTGTAGTTTGTGGTTGGTTATGGTGGTTTGTGAGTGGGTGTGGTGGTTTGTGGGTGATTGTGGTAGTAAGTGGGTGGTTGTGGTAGTTTGTGGGTGGTTGTGGTAGTTTGTGTGGTGTTTTGGAAGTTTGTTGGTGGTTGTGGTAGTTTGTTGGTGGTTGTGGTAGTTTGTGGATAGTTGTGGTAGTTTGTTGGTGGTTATGGTAGTTTGTGGGAGGTGGTGGGGTGATGGCTATGGAGAGAGTATGAGAGGTTACTGGAGAGGCGGCAGTGTGAAGTGTGAGAGGGGAGAGGTGTGAGAGAGGGTTGCCGGGGGAGCGGTAGTATGAGGGAGAGTGGGGTATCAACACAGCCCTTGACTCCTCCCACCAGTTTGTGGGAGAGTTTGAGGAAGTGGGTCCAACAATATTGTTTCTGTTGCGTCCAAACTCTGCTTATCTGGCTATAAGACGGGAAAGGAGAAAGGGGGAGAGGAAGAGGGATGGGAGGAGATGGGTTACAGAAAGGAAGAGAGGCAGAAGTGTGAGGGGGAGGAACCAAGGGAAGACAGTGTAGAAATAAAGCAGAATGACGGTAGGGTCAGCACATAAATAAATATTAATATCATTATGTCTAGTTGGAGAAGTGATTTGCAATTCAGAATCGTTATCAATAACCTGTAAATTGATTATTTACAAGGACCCCCCCCCCCTCCACCCCCATTGTATACCACTGTAGTCAAATAAGAGTGTGAGGGAAATGTGGCTTCTGTCATCCCACTGGGAGAGAATGTTTGTCTATCTGTTTGTTTGCCTGAAGGCAGGCAAACGCATGTGCGTTGCTGAGCCACAGCAACCTTCCCTCGTCTCCCAGTCCTCCCCACCATTCTTCCCTTCCACCGTCCCCTCGTCCTCCCAACCATTCCCTTCTCTCTCCTGTCCCTTTGTCCGTCCCACCGTCCCCTCGTCCTCCTAACCATTCCCCACTCAACCGTTCCCTCGTCCTCCCCCACTCTCTCCCACTCCCCCATCTCTTGTCCTCCCTACCATTCCCCCCCCTTCTCCATCCCCTCGTACCCCCCATAATCCCCCACTCCCCTAATCCCCATGTCCTCCCCACCATTCTCCAACTGTCACGTTATGTCCAGACCAAGTGAGATGGCCCGGAAAGTGGAGTTGGAGATTCTGTTGGACGACATATTCGACCTCGAAGCACAAAAGAAGGTCACCACCAAAGATACCTTACAAGCAGAACTTATTGCGGAAGGAGGAAAGAATCGAGGCAACTACAGAAGCACCATACTGTCCCCCGAGCTCAGAGCGGCAGCTAAGAGCCTTCGTGAGAACAAGGAGATAGTTGTCAGGAGAGGTGACAAGTCGCCAATATACTTCATTCTTAAAAAAGACGAATATCTGGCGAAAATGAACCTCATACTCTCTGACCAAACTAAACTCCAAAGGGTAACGAAGGACACTACAGCCGAACTGAAAGCAAAGGTCAACAAATTGATCGAAACTGTGAACGCCAAGAAATCTGGACTCCACCTGCCAAAGATTATTGGGGAATATAAACCTGGATATGCGTATGGAAATGTCAAGACACACAAGCCTGGAAACCCACTTCGGCCAATCATCAGCCAGATACCCACACCCACGTACAGACTGGCGCAACGACTCAACGGCTTGCTGACTCATGTCCATTGCGCCTTCAGCCTGAAGTCTCCAAAGGAATTTGTTGACTTACTGCAGGGAACACGGGCCACAGGGATAAGAGCCTCGTTGGACGTAGAATCACTGTTTACCAACGTACCTGTGGATGAAACCATCGGGATGATAGCCGACAGAGTGTACCGTGATCCGGCCTGTACTCCTCTTGACATACCAGAAAACAGTCTAAGGAAACTACTCCAAGCTTGTACTAAAGAGGCACCCTTCTTGAGCCCGGATGGACACATGTATAAGCAAGTAGATGGGGTCGCCATGGGTTCTCCCCTAGGTGTCCTGTTTGCAAACTTCTACATGGGTACCATCGAGCAAAAAGTCTGAGTCGACATGAACTTGAAACCGGCCATATACTGGAGGTATGTTGACGACATTTTTACACAGGTACCTGAGGTCAGACATCTGCAGGAGCTGAAGCAGGCATTTGAGCAGAATTCTGTGTTGCGTTTCGCTTACGAGATGGAGAAGGATGGGAAGCTGCCCTTTCTAGATGTAACAGTCATGGAAAGGAGCGGAGTTTTCCACACTGCAGTCTACACTAAGGAAACAAACATAGGAATGTGCCTGAATGCCAACAGTGACTGCCCGGACAGGTACAAGAGGAGTGTTGTTAACGCATACGTCGACCGTGCTCTCAGCCACAGCTCAGAATGGAAGCAAGTCGACGAAGAACTCTGTAGGGTAAGGCAGATCCTAGTCAACAACGGCTTCTCAAATGTTTCGTTGAAGACATCATAAGAAGGAAAGTGAAATGCCATGCAACCTCTGAAGAGACAACTAACACAACACCTATACCCCCTATTAGACTATTTTACAGGAACTTCTTTTCCACAGCTCATAAAACGGAGGAAAGGGTCCTGAAAGTTATTGTTAATAGAAACGTTATCCCTACAGACAAAAATCAGAAGATACAACTGACGATTTACTATAAAACCAAAAAAACGGCCAGCCTACTCATGAGAAACTCTCCAGACACAAAGCAGAACGCTTTAAAAGAGACCAACGTCGTCTATGCCTTCAAATGCCCTCTTGGGGACTGTAAGCCTCAAAAAACTCAGTGTATAGGCAAGACAACAACATCTCTTTCCAGGTGATTAACGATGCACAAGCAACAGGGCTCCATTAAGGAACATATAATCTCTTCCCACAACCAAACCATCACCAGAGAAATCTTAGCAAACAACACAGAAATCATCGATAGATACAGCGATAGCAGGCGGCTTGACGTCTGCGAGGCACTACACATCAAGAAGTCAACACCAGCAATCAACAGCCAATTAATGCACAACTATATTCTACCCATTTCAAGACTCCGCTTCAATATAGAAGCATCAAGAAATATGGGCCAATAGACCCTCTGCAATTGCTTCCATTCTTACCTTCAATACCCATTGTTTCGTGTTCTATCCTGTGTTGAAAGTTTTGTTCACCTCATCCAAAACTGTTGTAACATATCACCTCACCCAAAATGCGAGTATAAAATGAAAAATGAAAGCTGTTTAAATCATAGCATAAGTAAGAACTCTGTTTAGTGTTTGCAGGTAATAGTTGTGTGTGTGAAAACTAAAAGTCTTTGAAAATGTAATAAGTTATTACGAAACGCGTTCAAGTGTCGCGTCAGACTAGAAATAAAAATGAATTTTGGAGAATTGATTTTTCAATTACCATCAACAGTGAAAAGAAACATAAGAAAGATGGAGAAAATTCGTGTTAGAATTATTAATCTTACTTTTTCGGTCATATTTAATAATATGTCTACAGGAAAGACTGCTACCAAAATATACTAATATATATATACTAATATATATATATATATATATATATATATATATATATATATATATATATATATATATATATATATATATATATATATATATAAACTAACTGGAAATGTCTCTGTACTCTAGGTTGCAGGGAGAAAAGGGAGTAAGGGGAGAGAAAAGGGTGGGTGGATAAAGGCGAAAAATGTGTGAGGTTAGAGGGTGGGGGGGGCAATAAAGGGGAGAGGGGTAACGAAGAGGGGTGGGAGGAGGAAGGGAAGTGATGGGGGTGCAGGAAATGGGGAAAAAAGAAGACGGCTGCAATGTAGATGGGAGAGAGAGTGAGTCCCGGGTACCGACCGGTACGCCTCCTAGTTCGTGTATATTTATATATATTTATATATCCAAGAATATTCACACAAAAATGAAATAAACATGTGACTGCGCTATGCTTAATTACCCACGTAGGGAAAAATGATACGAAAATTCCGGACGTTTCCGTGTTTCACCACACTCTGAAGCAACACGGACAGCGAGGACTGATTGATGAAGATTAAGCCACCCAAGAGGTGGCATAGACATGAATAGCCTCTAAGTGGTAGACTTTTTGGAGTGAATGTATACTGTGTGGTGAGGTTGTGTTGAAATCATCAGTCCTTGCTATGTGGCTGTTATGTGGCTGTTATGTGGCTGCTATCGCGGGGAGGATACTGCTTGGGAATATTTACAGAGAGGACACAAGGGTTTGAGACTATATAATCCCACTACACCTGAGTAGATTAGGACTCTG